GGAATCCCTTCGAGGAGCCAGATTCTAAGGACTTATCAATTCCACACGGGTTACCACTCCCGCTGTGGCTGGGATGGCTCTTACTCGGCACGCTTTCGCCGAGGGTCGAACCTTTGCCCCTAATGGGACCCCAGTGCCGAGTCATCGTCACCCCCAGTCCAGTGGGGCAGCGTTAACCACCAGACCGTTCGTTCATCCACGAAGGTGCCCCGTTGAAATGACGGGTTTAAGTTCAACTCCAAGAGTTGGACCGGTTCAGAAAAATGTAACTGGGACAGGAGATTCGAACCCCTGACTTGTGCCGCACGGGGCCGACTCTCTACCGGCACGGCTACGGCGCCACAGTGTGAGAGGCCGAGCGACCTAGGCTAAAGGCACGAGTCGGCGCAGTAGCTTGAGCGGGAGAAGAACTGGTCCCATCCCATCATGACACCCTCTCACCTACGGCTTCGAGACCGACCTCGTGGCTCTTTGACATCGCTGCGAAGTTTTAACCTCTGAGTCGGGGGTTCTAATACTCAAAGCGACGTCAAATTATTCGTTTTTATGTTTGAATTTTTTCACATTGTACGAGAAGCTCGACCAGTCGGCAACCCGCGCTGGGGTTCGAGTCCCACCTGGGACACGGCCGGCCCGCCTTTTTTCTCTCTCTTTCTTTCCTTCCCACGCCGCGTCGTCAACCTGTGTTCTAGTCGGTGATCTACGAGTGCAGTCTCTCAGCCGAGTGCGTAAAGGTGTCGGGGCGGGTCAAGCTGCATGCGTGGCCCACCTTGTGCGTGGCCTTGACGATTGTAGGTACGACTCACTAGCGCCGGGGGGTAGGCAATCAGCACGCCACACGCCAGTTGTCGAGTCGTGGCGCGACCAGCGTGACGTCGCGCGTCCCGTGGAATTTGTCCTTCTTTAACTGAGTAAAAAACATAATGGTGTTAAACGTTACGGTGTCAGTCGCTACTGAGTTTAGGCTACGGTTACCAGTTAATTGTGCTTCAAGTTTTTTTTAATGGCCTTGCATATCTTTGGTCGCCGATGCCTTGGATTGAACCAAGACTTTGAGAAGTTGAGGTTAGTAGGCGCTGCCCTTCTGTCGAGATTTACTGCACAAGTAAGTTGACACCCGCGTTCTCGTGGCGAAAAAGGCACTTATGTTTGAATGCTTTTGTTCTCACAGATTATTAATTTTACACCCTTTCTGCATTACAATATCTATGGGGTTAGGAAAGCGAGGGATAGGGTGTCTGATGTTTAATGTTGATGTCATGTGTTAGAGAAAGCTGTTCTGATAATACTGACTTCTGATACATGAACAGTTTCATCCAAAGCTGTTTGCATGAAACGCTCCATTTCAGCTGACGGAAACAATACAGCCTGAGAGTGACTCGTCAATGTTGGGGTGGGATAATATTTGCCTCGCAGTTCTTTGTATAGAAATGAAGCTTTATTCTGAACTGTTTACTGTGTAGTTTCAACAAAACTTGATCTTTAAATGGTGAAGAGGGTCCGTATTTTCTAGAGTGGCTCATTTATTATTGTAGCGCAGTGTTTGTTACAATATATTGATCTCTATTGTTATACGGTACACATATATCTTCAGAGAGTGGCTCATTTGTATTATTGTAGCGCAGTGTTTGTTACACTATATTGATCTCTATTGTTATACGGTACACATATATCTTCATAGGAAGTGAGGTGTGTAGGGATGTAACTTGAGAGTTGCTGAATTTTCCCCAATTTGTAACGTTTTGTTGAAGTTTCAAATCACAGGAAGGGTGCGCTCCTCGCCTGGCTCGTCCTCGGCTGGGTACAGCATTACTTCCGGTCTCGTTCTTCTTATTAGGATTCCTCCGAACCATGCGGCGGCACCCCTGTCCCCCCAAATCTTTTACTCGACTCGACTGTTCCGCTTGATTTCGCTCGCTAGTTTGGGGTCCAGCGCGGGCACGGGGAAAATAAATAAATTTATTGCCGTTCTCATTTCGAGTTATCGTGTTGTTGTTTATGGCTGCCGAAGCGCCAACCCCCCTGCCCTGACCTGACGGTCGAGCGCGGGTGCTGCGGTGCGGTGCTGTGCGGTACTGGGAGTTGCCCGCTGACAGACAGCAGCTGAGCGCAGCTGAACGACTGACGGACAGGATGAGCGCGGCTGAAACGACCGCGGGCCGGCGCGCGGACGGACGCGCTGATGGTCCATAACGCCAAACTTTTAATCTGCATGCGGCAGGTGAACGCGCGGGCCGTTTTATCTCCCGCTGGATGGGCCGCTCCGGGGGTCAGGGGCCGGGGCCGGGGCCGGGGCCGGGGCCGGGGCCGGGCAGTGGATGTGGACGAGGCTATAGGGCATTACACCGGGGGATTATGTGAAGTGAAAAACGCGCACTGAAACCCAGGGCGGGGACCGCGGCTGCGCCTAGCTTTGGACGGAATTCAAAATGCTTTGCGTGCACTGGGAAAGCGAACAGAGAATCTAAGCAACTGTTCAAGAGATGATTAGGAAACGACAGCAGTGCTGCTTTTCTGTATAAATAATTACACAGCAACAAAATAACACGCTGTAGTCAGCCAAACCGTGTTGATTGCAGCAGGTGCAGGACTGCAGCTGCGCAGGCTGCGTGGACAGTGACTCTACGCGTGTAACAAACAAAAGAAAGTTGACAGTTCAAAACAGTGCTCGACTTTGGGTATTTGTGTTGCGCAAGTGTCAAGCTGCGCACTGAAATGGTCTTTTCTCACAACGTTTTCACAGGGTCTGTGACGGTCGCCGTGAACTGACGCGCCGGTCGCCGCCAGACCTTGTATACTACGCCGGGTGCTTTTGAAGGAATCGCAGCCAGCAGCGGCGGCTTCGGTCGCGGTGCCTTTGGCTAGGGGCTGGGCGAGGCAGGGTGTGGCGGGGCGTGGCGGCGGGGCGCGGTGGGGCGGGGCTGGTCGGTCCCACCCCTAGCGCGGCGGCCGCTGGCGCTCGCTCGCAGCGGGCGGGGCGGCTCAGTCCTTGTGGCACCGCGAGGGCAGGCAGAGGCAGGCAGAGAGGCAGGGTTTGGCGCCGCTCCAGCCGCTGTGCTGCCACGAGCTCACTCACGCGATCCACGTGGTCCCGGCTCGGCTCTGCTCGGCTCGGCTCGGCCCGAGGGCCTTCCCTGCGACACAGACCGCGCCGATAACGTGACGGCCCGGAGCGCCCCTTCAGCCGCACTCGACTTGACAGTCGTCGCGGACGTGTCGGTGGTGGTGAAGTGATCTGTGCAGTGTGGTGCGTGTGGCTGTGAACGCTCAGGATTTACCGCCTTCTCGACTCTGCGCTGAGGCAGCAGCAAGGTGAGCTCACACGCCGCCGATTAAATGTGAATAAGTAACGATGCAGCGCTCGGCATGCCAAAACAAACAAGCAGATGAAACACGCAAAACAATCTCGCTGCTTTGGTTACCCTGCTGTTCCACACTAGGCCCATTATACTTGTGATTACGGCCGATGTTCATAAAACTCGGCAATTTGTTTCCTTACTGAGAAGGGATATCTGGTGTTGATTCAGTTTGGAAAGTTGGTCGACCATTGAGATTGATTGGCTGCAGAAAGTTAGCAGTCTGGGATCGAGTGCGAGCGTCATTCGAGTTTTTGCAATCGCTGTCGCCTGAGGGGGATTTGCGGTCGTCAATAGTTGAGTTGGTTTCATGTCAATCGACTTCACTTCAAAGTTTGACGTGGGGGGGGGGGAGCGTTCAGTTTTCATCTGCATCATTTTAATTTTTGTCGACTCGCTTCTGCACAAAAGAAGTTGGCGGGCATTATAGAAGCGCGCCTTTGCTAAGTGTGCTCCAATTAAAGATGCGACACGCCTCGTGACTGCTTTTGAAACTTTTGCCTGTTTCGTTTCTCGCGCAGCTCAAATGTTTGACTCCAAAGCCGACGCCGACGGCTTCATGTTTTAAAGTGATATCGTCCCTTCTTTGTGACGTTGGCCTAAATGCATTTCGTTACTCACTCCTGCAGACACGATACTGAGGGAAAAGCAGGCAGCCATTTGCCACCTGCCCCGTCCCTTTGACCCAGCCCTCTTCTCAATGACCCCTTTTCTGCGAGGAGGTAATCTCGCCGACAGCGTGTCCCGCTGCTGCTGTTGTACGCTCGTGGGCGAGCAGGGGGTGGGAGGCGGGCGGGGCGCGGGCGGGAGCGCAGGCACGCGGGGCGCCGGGTGAAAAGTGGCGTGGTATCCAAGTTTGAGCCGGCTTGGAGTGGTAGCAGCAGCAGTAGTAGTGTAGTACGAAAAGTTTAATGAATCACCAGAGAGTGAATAATTAATTAACCGTCTCGCACCCTGCAGGGCATGCGGCCCTCAAGTTACGGCCGCCATGGCCGCGCTGAGCTCTCTTGGGGACCCGGCCGGCCGCGCCCTGGGGCCGCGCCCCCGCCCCCCTCGGGGTCCCCCCCTTTGGGGTCTCCCCTTGGGGCCGTGTGGTCCCCCCCGTGGGGTCTGCGGGGCCTCCTTCCCTCCTTGACCCTGGTGGCCCCGGCCACGCCACACCACACGTGCTGGGAGGGAGGGGTCACGGGTCACCCCCGCGCCTTCAGGGCACACTGGAGCTTCGTCAAATTTATGAGTTCTGTGTACCTGTGGTGTTATGCGTTTTAATACGCTATAATAATAATGTATCGTACTTTAGGAACCAGTCAGGAACCTTTGTGCTCTACCCAGTATTCTTCCTCCGGCCAATACGAATACGTAATCCGTTTAAGATTAATTGCGTAGACAATAATATGCTGAAGCACAAGCAACAGTAATGCTTGAGCTGTGTATAAAACTAATTTTTACACCAAATTTAGTATGTGTTTTCCGCTAGGAGTAGTCCTATTTATATCCCCTCCTTGGAGATGTTCGCTCATGATGGCCCATATGATGTCATTAAATAGAAATTTTCCAAATGGACCAGCACATCGATGGTGCTCACTTCGAAACCCCCTCC